ATTGCATATTAATTGGAAAGGGGAAAATGAGCCTTTACAGTGAAGTAGTGGGACAGGCATCATCAGGAATAAGGCAGCCTGACTGTATGCCTCCTTGTGTGATGACAGGGAGGGACACAGTGTCACCTGGGAGGTGTTCTTGTTAAGTACAAAATGTTGAACATGAATCTTAATAATGAGGGCACAGACAAATCCAAAGTGTACACTAACTTGGATGTGACAATGCTGCAGGCGCAGGCCACGGATCTTGTTTGACCCCTGGATCAGTAGGGAAAATCTGTGAAAGACTCCACCTTCTCAACAAGAGCTGCTTTGAAGGGCTTTAATTCCTTGGACACGAAGAGAAGCACCTTAAGGTCTAGCCCCAGTCCCCTCACCCTCACCCAGTCACTGTTGCTCACTACATTGGCCAGGAGAGTGAGAACAGCCTCAGCTATCGGAGCAAATGGGCACAGTCTTTGCTTCTTCTACTTAGAGAAGTTCTCTCGCACCCAGTCCTTTTCTGGCCTGTCCCAAATCTGTGCCTTTTTGGTTTCCATCTGTTCTGGTGCCCTGGCCTTCATAGGGGGCTCTCTCTCACTTCATTGAGATGAGTGATGGCTGCCTTTGATGCTAAATTTATTACCTCCATCAGTGCCTCCTCCCTTCACACCACATCCTTCCCCATGGCTTCCTTCACTTCCTATCATTTGTCATCAGAATTTCGCTTCTCTGTTTGTCTGGCAGGTTCAAGTGTGAATGGCCTAGAGGAGCCCAGCATTGCCAAGAGGCTGAGGGGCACTCCTGAAAGGATTGAGCTGGAGAACTACCGCCTATCTGTGAAACAGGCAGAGGAACTGGAGGAGGTACCCGAGGAGACGCAGGCCGAACACAACCTGAGCAGCGTGTTGGACAAGGGCACAGAGGAGGACGTGGCCAGCAGGTCAGCCTGTGCCCTGTGAATTCCTTGTCCTATGTGCTCCAGTGTGCCTGTGGCTTGCCCTCGTACTTCTTTCTTGAGGAAGTGACTTACTTAGAGCCTCCAGAGGAATTTATTACCTGGCTTTGGTAGGGGACAGCATATCAACTAGTTAGCAGTCTGAGCAGACTGTTTGGGTTTGAATCCTGACTCTTGTACTTCACAAATGCATGACTGTAAGCAAGTTATGTAATTAATCTCTAGATGCCTCAGTTTCCTCATCTATGAAATGCAGGCAATACTGGTATCTTCCTCACAGGATTGCTGTGAGGGTTAAATGAATTGGTATGTATAAAGAACTGAAAATAGTATTTCAGTTATGTTTAACTGAGTGATGCCTTGGAGGGCATACAGGTTCCACCTCCAAGGCTCCCACCATCTTACACCCCGGAGCTTCATTTTTGTCACCTGCCCAGGCCTTCCAGTGTCAGCAAAGAACATTGTACAAAGTGCACATTAGAATATCATTCTTCAGTATTGGCCAGATCCTCCTGCAGGACTACAAGGTGCCAGAGCACTTGCTAAGGACCCTGACTGGTAAAGGCTTTGGGTCTGCAGACAGCATTTAAATGCTACAAGGAGCACATATCTAGCCATGATTAAGAGAATGTTTGGGCATAAAGAGGGCAAAGCTTTTTTTTTTTTTTTTTTTTAAGTAGCAAGATGTTTCTCAAGGGGGTGTTTGCTGCTTCCACTGTATCCTCTCACTTCAGCCCATGGAGCACACACTGCCCCTTGGGATAAACTGCTCCTTGGGCTGGTCCAGTGGACAGCTCTTCTGTGCATCCCAGGGCAGCCTCCCCCTTGCAAAGTCTTAGCTAAGCTTGGTTTCACATCACAATGTCATCACATAACTCAGCATGAACATGAAGAGTACCCAGGGAGGCACCTCCCTGCCACACCCAGATAAGGAGGAGCCCGTGCCCCTTCATTCTCTCAGTACCTACTCCCTACACTGGGTTCTGGGAGGCCTGTATGTTAAGCATATTTGTAAACCCTTGAGCAGAGCTCACAGCTCAACCTCAGGGCGAGTATGGGTGAGTACCTGTTTCCTGCAATAATAATTGTTCTTGTACTGTAATTTGTTAATTGTGAAGATAATTAGGGCACCAAGTTAAAAAATTATGGCAAGGGCAGATATATGCACACCTATGTTTATATCACAGCACTATTTATAATAGCAAAAAGATGGAAACAACCTAGGTGCCCATCAACAGAAGAGTGGATAACCAAACTATGGTGTATATACATAATGGAATACTATACAACACTAAAGAAGAACATAGAATCTGCAAAACACCACATAATGTGGATCAACTTGGAGGACATTATGCTGAGTGAAATAAGTCAATCACAGAAGGACAAATATTGTATTAGTTCATTATTATAAAAAGTCAAGGAAAAGTTTACATATGGAAGGAAACTTTGTTGGTTACCAGGGGTAGGAAGGGAGGGACAGGGACACTGCAAAAATAAAATAAAGAAAGAAAGAAAAAATGTGGCAAGGGCATTCCAGGAAGGCTAAATCATGGCATTTGTGACAGAGTGTGGCAGGAAGGGCAGGACAGCAGATGAAGTCATCTGGCATCTGCATGGTGCAATAGAAGACCCCTTCTTACTTCAGTAAAAAAAAAAAAAAAAAAAGCAGCAGCTAGCATTAAATGCTAGGCAGAAGGAACCTTAGTAGCTTACTGGTTAAATGCTCAGCTGTTAACCAAAAGGTCCATGGTTTGAACCCTCTAGTGGCTCTGCAGGAGGAAAGACCCAGCCACCTTTTCCTTTAAGATTACAGCCTAAGAAACCTTATGGGGCAGTTCTGCTCTGTCACATTGGGTCCCTATGAGTCAGAATCAACTCAACAGCACCCAACTACAATAAAAGTGAAGAGCCTAAAGGTAGAAGCTACAGAGTTTGTCTGATTTCCCCAGGGAAGCTGTAAAATGCAGGAAATGTTGTATATTTTCTATTTCTTCTCTACAGCACCAAGCACATTTTCAGGCCTTAGTCTTTCCTTGATGAGATATTAGTTTAGACCTGAAGATGAGAAATGGCGTAGTGCTGCAGCTGTACTGGTCCAGCCCAGGGACTCCCTCCCTTTCTGTGAGTTTAGGAGGCCCTTTAGCCTAGGTTTTTGCCGTGGGAGGCTGTGAAGTATGCAGTTGAAGAACTCAGCTTTGGAATCAAACAGACGGCAACTTGAAGCCTAGCTCTACTGCCTTCTAGCTGTGGGCAAGTTACTAACCTCTCAGTGCCTCAGTTTCCCCACCTACAAAGAAAGCTACACCTCATAAGTTCGTTATGAGGATTAAATAAAAGAAAGCAGCTGGCACAATGCCTGCCATCCAGCAAGCAATAAAGAAATGCTGGGTGGATTGGAATCTATAACCTTTCCATTTGCACTACCCAAAACCAAAACCACCCACTGCCATCCAGTCGATTCTGAGTCATGGTAAGCCCTCCTTGGGTTTCTGAGGCGGCAGTCTACTTCTGTAGTGATACTGCCTTGGCAACCCAAGGAGGGGTCGCTATGAGTCGGGTGCGACTCGATGGCACATAACAACAACAACATCTCTACGGAAGTAGATTGCCCAACCTTCCTTCCGAGGAGTGGCTGGTGGGTTTGAACCTTCAGCCTCTGGTTAACAGCCAAATGCCTTAGGCACTATACCACCTGAGCTCCCTAACACTCTATAGAGACCCTTTTATTAAGCCTTAGACAGAACAAGGACAAAACAAAGACATTCATCCAGGATGAGGCAAACAATCACCAAGTATACAGTATAAAAGCTAAATGGAATCCACTGAGTCAGTTGAGGTTTTCATTATATTTGATAGAGTACAAAAGAAATCATCACAAAATCGTGATTGGTGGCAGGTCAGTTCATCACTGACCATGATTGGGTTACATACACAACTGAAGATTAAAAAGGGTTACTTACAGAATTGGTTCTGGGGCTTCACCACTTGGCAGTGTGGAGCTCAGGGTGTAACTCATGACCATGCAACCTGAGTCACAGCCACAAGGTGGCTATAAGGCAATATCAGGACCCCAACCTTTAATTTAAATTAGATAAGGACACACCCAGGCAAGTTCCCTAGTTCTTTGTGTGATCATAATCTACTTTCTGGGAAACTCGGTGTTTTTTTTTTTTAAATAACTTCCTGGGCCCTTCTTCTGAAGTAGCTGATTCAATGGGTCTGTGATAGAGAGAAAGAAATGTTTTAAAAAGGCACTGCAGGTTATTGTAATCGGGCTCATGATTTAGTTCACAATGTGGGGTCATTTCTGACTCATGGCAACCCCTTATGTGTCAGAGTAGAACTGTGCCCCATTGAGTTTTCAGTGGCCGGGATCTTTCAGAAATAGATTGCCAGGTCTTTCTTCTGAGGCATCTCTGGGTGGCTTTGACCTGCCAACCTTTCAGTTAGTAGCCAGATGTTTAACTTTGTGTACACCAAGAGACTCCTTAGTTCACACAAGAGCCTCTAAGTCCTGAAGCTAAAGATGAGGTCCTTCTTTCTCCCATGATTGTTCTCTCCAAGGGATGTATCCACCTCAGGTACATGTTCAGCTCATATGCCTGTCTTTTGTTTGGCTGGAAGCCACAGGTGTGGGGTCAATTCCAGACCTGAAGAGCAGCTAGGGACCATAGTCTCAGTTGTTCCACCAGGCTCTATCAGACCAGCAAACCTGGTCCCTCCCCCCCTTTATTTTTCCCCCAAATGATTTTGAGTTTTGTTCTACATTGTTCTCCCTCTCTATCTAGGATCTCCTACATAGATCCCCCTCCGAGTGGTTGACAGTGGTAGCCGGGCACCATCTAGTTCTTCTGGTCTCATAGTCGTATAGGTTGAGGATTGCATTGTGTACCAGTCACAAGGACTAATTGTTTCCATGAATCTTTGGTATCTTTAGTTTTCTTCATTCCTCTTTGCTCTGGACAAGGAAAGACCCATCATTGCATCTAGATGGCTGCTTGCAAGCTTTTAAGATCCCAGTCGCTACTCGCCAAAGTAGAAAGTGGAACAATGTTTTGTGTAGTATGTTATGCCAGTTGAGTTTGATGTCTTTGTTGGTAATTTTTTGATGACCTGTTCAATTTCTTCTTTTGTTATGGATCTGTTCAACTTTCCCACATCAATCTGTGTTAGTTTAGGTAAGTGGTGTGTTTCTAGAAACCTGTCCATTTCTTCTAGATTTTCAAATTTGTTGGAGTACATACAGTTCTTCGTACTATCCTGATATTACCCTTTTTATTTTAGTTGGTTCTGTTGTGATGTCACCCATTTTGTTTCTTATTTGTGTTATTTGTATTCTTTCCCTCTCTTCCTGTGTTAAATTTGCCAGTGGTTTGTCAATTTTATTGATCTTCAAAAAAAAAACAACTTCTGGTCTTGTTGATTTTTTTCTATTGCCCTTCTGTTTTCTATTTCATTGATTTCTGCTTAAATCTAGATTATTTCCTTTCTTCTGGTGACTATAAACTTTTCTTGCTGTTCTTTTTCTAATTGTTGGAGATGTTGGTTTAAAGTGTTGACTTTGGCTCTTTCTTCTTTTTTGATGTGTGCATTTATTGCTAT